GAGGAGGTTAGCTAGGAGGCAACCCTAAGTGCGTGACTTGTTCTAGCTATGAGTTTTCCCTCTCTCACCAGTTGATGTGGGAACCTGTGGGAGAGTGTGATGATCTTAGGTCTACATTCCATGGCCTATATTCACATAGGTGCTTTGCTTATATTGTAGAAGTATGTTCATCTGATCCCAAAGGAGTAATCTTGGCTTTTTAGATGCTTTGCCACCAGAACAAAAACTATGACTGGCTCTTTCCAACTGGAAAGGACTTGAATACAGAACTGGCAACAGATTCTATGTCTATTGCTTGAAGACTAGCATGGCTAAGTTGGCAGGGGTCAGTGATCTTAAGATTACTCACCAGGTGATAAAATCTTTTGGCCCCTCGTGAACTCATGAAGACTGTTGTGGAAGGGTATGGAATACATGGAAGGGTAGTGATTTATACTGGTGGAGGGAGTATCCACAGGTCTTTTGAAACTTTGAAGTAATGAAATGTTATTTGTCCTTTACTGGGCTTAAAGTTGGGCTTTGAGTAACTTGCCCTGGTTTCCTTTTCTTAAAGCTTATCAATTTAGGAAATAAATGCCCTGGAGGCATTTGAGAAGCCTTCAATGTAATGCTAGCTCAGTGACTTCAGGGAATACATTCTAGACACCAAGAAGCAAGGTAGTTTCTTCCCTGCACACCAGACATGCTACATGACCATGAATCATGGAGCACAACTACCAAAGAATCAAAATGGCAGGCTGCCTAAATGGCAATAGGAAGATGCATCGGTAAGGACAAGTTGGCTGCGACATGTCTCCAACAACACATAATCCATAGGGCACTGGACACGGAACCAAGATTGAGGTACAAGTCTTGCCTCAGATTTAATAGCTGTGTGACTCTGGGCAAGTCACTTAACCTCTCTGTACCTCAGTTTCTCATTCATAAAAATGAGTGGGTTGAAATTAATGTGTTTCTAGGGTTCCTTCCATCTCATGTTTGGCTGAAAAAACAGGTAAGTTAGACACGTGAGGAGAGCAAAGGATAACTGATGGACAGTTTAAGTGCTGCACTAGAATAAGCCCCATGAAATATAAAAAGCCCCAGAGGAAGGCCTGGAGCAATCACTAGGGAGGATAAGACGGCATAGAATGTTTGTAAGCTGTATTAGTGGAGACAGTACAAGTCTGTAAGTATAGTGGAAGGGAATAGCAGTGACTTGGGGCCCCTGCAAATCCCGATGGCATCATGGAAATTTGCTAAGGGAAAGGCTAACTATCTTAACTGTAGGGCTCCTGACATATCCACAAACCCAGATGAGAATCCCAGAGAGGTTGTCAGTAGATGGAAAGAGCACTGGTATCTGTAGAGAGGGAAGACTTGGGAAACCTGAGGGCTCCCAATACCCTCTCCTAGGCCTTGGGGCTCATTTCATGTAAGTCATTCACCCAGGGCTTCCTGTTTAGGAATTAAGTACTACCTTCCCATGACTCACCCCCATTCAGTCAGCTTGAATGAACCAAGTGAGGTCAGTCCATAGTACCTTCATATTCTATTTCTCCCCAGCGTGAAGAACCTTTTGCTATATGGGTATAAGCACATAGAGCAAAACCTAAGAATGCCACCATTTACCTAAAGAGCAATTTAAGGAGGGGAGGAATGGGGGAGGGATAGTTCAGCTATTCACTTGAGAGAGAAAGAATCTTTTGTTTTACTAAATATTAGGTAGGAGACAGGAAGGGTTCATTTAAGTACCAAATGACTCACCTGGTACACTTAAAATAGTATTTTGATTGACCAAAAAAATCAACTTACATACAATTTCTCAAGAAAATAGCTAGCATGCAAAGAGAGGTAAAAGAATAACCTCACTTGGATAAGACTCAGTCCTCAAGATACTTCATTGGCAATTAACTTTCGGATCTCAGTGTCACTAAACTACACACATACACACACACAGGCTCGTGCGTGTGCACACGCACACATACATACACATGCTGCCCTCCCTACTTTTCCCACTCTAGCAGGCCTCAGCCCTCAGCTTCAGGTCCACCTTCTGAATCCTCTCTCATTGTAGTTATTTATTCAGGCCCATATTGGAGCATTGGGAGCTCATTAACAAATTGCTATTGGGCCTTTTTGTAAGGTTACAAATCCCCACACACACTTGCTTCAAGATACACACAGGGCAGAGGCCTTGGCCTAATGGAGAGAGAATCCTTAGAGGATGAAGGAATTGGTGGTGGGCTGTTGTGCAAAGAGCCCTGAATTTAGAAGGGGATGACCAGAATTTGAATCCTGGTTCTGCTGCCCACTAGCTGTGTGACCTTTCTATATCTCAGTTCTATTATCTGTATAATGAAGGGATTGGATTAGTTGACAAGTAAGATTCCTTCCAGCTCTAAATCCTATGATCCTATAATTGTCCAGAAGAACAAAAAGATGAGCCAGCATCCCCCTTGGGGAATGTAAATCCTTGTGAAGTCAGCCCAGGAGATACTAGCCTTCTTTCAGATAAGAACATTACACAAAGTCTTGGGGGGATGAAGATGCCTCTCCAACTCCATGGGGATTACACCTAGCATAAGGTAAAACAAGTCTTCTTTAACAACCAGAAAGCTCCAGAGAGAGGAAAATAACTGATAAAGTAGATACAATTAGTTTCCTGAGCTAGGAAATGAGTGAACATTCACCCAGCTCAAAATACCTCTGCCATCTTTAATCTGGCCAACTTGGAAGGAAGTTGGTAGGAAGTCCAAGAGGGCTCAAGAACAGAAAGTCAATGGGTTCTTAGGGTCTGGCAAGGGTGGCCTTGGCAAGAGTTAGGAAACCTAAATTTGACTTCTAGCTCCACTACCTACTACCTATATGACCTAGTGTGTTACCATATTACTATGCGACAACTCAGTTTCCCTACATCTATAAAATGAGGGGAATGATCTCTCAAGTCCCTTTCATCTCTAAGATTCTATGCCACCTATGAACTGAGGCAGATTTAAGGGGGTTATGATTATGATGGCAACCATCAAGGGCACAGAACAGTGGCACAATTGGGCTTGATGCCAGCCCAGGAACAAAGACTGCAATAAGTGCAGAAAGCCAAGGTACCCCTTGGAGGGCAGAATTAGCCTTAGCTTGCTGGAATATTTGCCAGGGCAGATAGAGAGGAGGCATAGGGACAGGGCAATCTTCCCTTTTAGGCAATTTCAGCCCTATGGCCTTCAATGGCCTTAGGTTCACTCTAAGTTTCCATGCTCTGGACACTCTTGAGTTCTTTGTTTTGTTTGTTTTCCCCTTAGTTACTTGAATATTATGATCTTGAAAAGTGTCAGATCTTGTCTGGACTGAGCTAAGGGGGCGGGCTTTGTCCTCCCTTCCACAAGGGGAATTGTAGGATGATCAGGGCTCATCTGGAAGACAAGTATGGTAGAAGAGATAGTGGCAGGGTGGCTCCAGTTAGATGTAGGGGTGCTTGGTCTACTAGAGAAAAAGGAAAAACCTCAAATGACTGTTGTTCCCTAGAATCTCTCAGAAGGCTGTTCCTTTCGTGGCTGGGGTATTTTCCAGTACAGTTCTAGTGGGTATGGGCCGGAAAGCTGTCCATCCTCAAGGACAACATGGAAGCCACCTCTTGAGTGCAGGCTTGGTATGTCAAATTGTATGCTCTTCCCCTAACACTCTATAAGCCTACAGACAAATGGCAACCCAAAAGGGGACAGAAGTCCCCAAAAGGTAGCCTGAAGGATGTGGAAGGGGTAAACGGCCTTGATGACATTGGGGGTGGGAGCTGGTGGACAGTGATAACTATTGATAAGTATATGAGTAGCAAATCTTTTATACTTTAAGCTGGCCGAGTCCCATCCATCTCCACCTATGAGCTACATCGCTGTGTCACTGCCCATCCTGGTAAATCATGGGGTCCTCCAAAGCATGGGCCAGGATGATTCTTAACATCCTAGGAATGGCTTGGCCTACTCTCCCCCTAGCCTCCTGACCCTACTTCACCTGCCTGTGAACGACCAAGAATGTATACTCTCTAATGCATGCATGTAACTAGGGGCTTAGATATCATCCCAAAGCAGCTGTGAGAAACTCCAGAGAAGTTCCCAGAGGCAGAAACCTCCAAGCTAAGAAAAAGAACAAAATTACTAAGAGTAATCTGGTTCTGCTTCTGGCTGAGGAGATTACTATCCCCTCTACCTCCTACATAGACTGACTCCCCCAAAACGGTGACCTCCAACTCCAGTCACACAATGATCCCCTAGGCCCAGCCAGACTTCTAAGGGAACCACAAACATTAGCAGCAACTAACCAAGTGGGCCTTCAGGATGAAAATATAGCCTTTTATCGGAGAGACTGTAAACTTCTTGAGAGCAGGCATTGTCTCACCTTTCTATTTTTATTCTGTTTTCTATTTTCCTATATTTTCTTTTTGGATCCCCAGTGCCTGGTACAGTGCCTAGCACATAGTAGGTGTCTAACAAACACAGGTTGTTTAGTGAGAAGACAGACCAGTGGCTCAGAATATCACACTAATGAAGCCCAAGTCCTAGGTTTTTCTCCTGGGTAGATCAATCAATCAATCAATAATTGTTTATTAAGCACCTACTATGTGCCATATGTAGCTCTGGATCACAGTTTCTCTGGAGAAACTCTATTTCATGGTACAGACTGCAAGGGGAAATACCTCTAGCTAGGAAAGGAACAACCCTCGTAGGTAGATTCCACACCACTTGAGGTTTTTCCTAGAGCAGACCCATTACCTCCCAGATTGGTTCTTATTCAGACCTTGGGCTGACTCCGAAAAGTAGCCCCTTGATTAGGAGGACAAAAAGAAAGTCAATGGGTTTGGCACCAAGGGGCAACTATGTGGCACAGTGAGTAGAGTGCTGGGCCTGGAGTCAGGAAGACTCATGTTCATGAGTTCAAATCTGGCCACAGACACTAGCTGTGTGACCCTGGGCAAGACATTTAACTCTGTTGCCTCAGTTTAATCATATGTAAAATGAGCTGGAGAAGGAAATAGCAAACCACTCCAGTATCTTTGACAAGAAAACCCCAAATGGGATCACAAAGACACAACTGAACAACAAAATTGGCCCCAAGACCAAAGCCACCACCCCATACTTCTTTCCATCTTTTTTCTTCTCCATCAGTTTTCTTTGGAAGAAGAGGTACAATGAAGTGGGTATAGGAAAAGATGGTATAAGGACTGCTGAGGCTAGCTCAAAGTTCTCCCTCCTACCAAAGAACAGAGTAGAGGCTAGCCCTATGTGTGAAGCCTAGGCCAGTGCACGCCTAGGAGGTCACAGACTGGCCAAGGGTCCTGGGTTTCTGGTTTTTTGAAATGAGTAGGAGAAAGCTGGAAGTTTTCCTCAGAGTAAAAAGGAAGGTCAGAATTAGAACTGTTATTGATAGCATCAAGTCATGAAACTCCTTCTAACTTGTACCCAGAATTTCTTTAAAGAGTGTTTGTTTAATATAGTGACTTCCATTCATTATATAAATCTTAGTAATTACTGACTCTGTATGTGTGTGTATGTGTGTGTGTGCGCGCGCGCGCGTGCACGTGGGGGGGGGGGTCTGGACCTTTGACCTCATTCGTGTAAGGAATTCCTCCAAATACAGATCAGTGACTGTTCTTCAACTTTAAGTCTCAGAGAGTTTCTTGGAGCACTAAGAGATTAAGTGACTTGCCCCATGATCACACAGCCAGTATGTTGAAGAGGAAGGACTTGAACCCGAGTCTTGACTCTAAGGTCAGTTATCTATCCACTAAGCCACGGTGCCTCTCAGTCACTGAATGGTTAATAGTATTACTACTATTTAAGTAAAGAGGAGGGGGGAATAGAAAAGTATAAAAAGCCTCATTGGGCTAAATCTTGCGTTCTTTCAGTGAGCCTGCAAATAAGGGCAGAGCAAGCCTGGTCCCTGGGACTCCACAGGTAAACCCAGGCTCTGATGTTTTCTTGGTAGCAGCTATTAGTACAGTCATGTCTAGGAAGTTGTAGCCAACCTTGCTCTTAACCACACCTCTTAGGTGATGGCAAGTGTTATTCTGATCGTGTCTCCAGCTTAGTCCAGACTGCACCCATACCTAAGGCTCACAAACTGACTTCAACATTGGCCACAGATTGATCTCTAATCTTGGCTCACCATCACACAAGAGCATGCTACTGGTCAGAGAGACTGTGGATGGCTCACTGTAAACCCCATCAGCTGCTACTGGGGGAAGAAAATGATTCTAAGTCTGTGCCCAGTTGGTGGCTAATTAGGTACCATATTCTCATAGCTAAAGAATGGTACATGCAATTCTTGGTTAAGCTCTTACCCACTTTCATTATCAAGCACGGTAAAAATAGAATCGGGTTTCTGTCTGCCTGTTATCACACCATTCAGGTTAAGGAAAATACCTGCCCCCAAATGTCTAGTCCTCTCATTTGTCTCTAAAGCAAAGCTGCCATCATACATAGTATGGTGGAAGAACTACGTGTCTCATCCGCTGCCCTGATCACCCATCCTTGACCCTAATCAACTCTTAGTGACAGATACTATAAGCAACTCAGCATTCCAAAGTCCAGCATTCCAAAATGAAGTTACCATCATTCAGTACCAATCATGCCCACTGCAAAATGTCAGAATTGATAAAGCCACTTAACCTCAGTTTTCCCATCTGTCAAATAGTGCTAATAATACCTGCTGTACCTAACTCATAACATTGTTTCAGTAACAAAGTAAGACAATGAACACAGAGCTATATCCCTAGACAGATATGGCCTCAGACAAATCATATATATGGACTCTCCCTTCCCCCAGTATTTATATACAAGTGAAATCAGGTTACTGTGGCCATCAAGGGCACTGTTGAAGAGAAAAGGGATATGAAACATCACAAAAGGAAGCCATGCAGTCTTAGGGAGGCTTAGGGACAGACATCTAGCCCCAGCTCACCCTGGTGCTAGAGGGGGAAGGGAGTGGTTCACAAATGAGAGGGATGATTAGGAGCCTCAGGTCTTTTAAAGCACCAGATGGCAAGGTTGGCCGAGTCTTTCTCCCCTACTAGGTGCCTCCCTGAAACACTGCCCAGCCACCTGGTCCCTGGAGCCACTGAGACCCTCAAAGCACAGACCCCAGGGCCATCACCCCAATTCTTTGTATTCTAGGGGCAGCCCTGAAGAGATGTGAAAGCACTTTGAAAAGCATAAATCCCTGTACAAATGAAAATCCTTATCTTTTCTTATTCTTGGCATGAATATTGCCCAGAGAGCAGGTGCGCAATCTGGGGTCTCATGAAAGAAGGAGCAGCCCCCTCTGCAAAATATAGGGCAGGAGGATTTCAAGGACAGCCAGGATAGAGAGGAGATCTCTGAAAATTCTTCTCCAAGATGCAGGATTTAAATTTGGCCAGAAAGGACATATGTAGAGGAAGAACACATGGACCTAGGACTGTGAGTCACCAGCAGTGATGAAAGGGCCAGAGGCTTCACTAAGGAAAGCAACTAGAGCTGGATTCTAATGTAGAATCCACCACTTCCCAGTTGTGTGACCCTGAGGAAATCACCAGCCCTCTCTAGGCCTCAAGTTGATTCTTCTGTCAAATGAAGGAGTCCGACTAAACAAGCTCTAAGGTCCCTTCCAGCTCTGACATTCTACAAGTCTATGATGGGATATCTAAGTTCTAAGGCAATTGACAAGGGGTCTACCATACACAGCAGCCCCAAAGGGGGCTGGGGAGAGGGAGGAGGGAGGAGTGGTACAAGTCATAGGCAGGAGGCAACATTATGTTTACATACTCTAGACTGGACACAGGCATAGCTAACTTCCTCCAGGCTCCATTATCCATAGCTCACACCCTCTGAATCTGTTTCATGAAGATCATTAATCTGAAAGAGGGGGGAATCAGTCTTGAGGATTTCTTCCTTTTCCTTTAGCAAGACCCCAAAGATGTGTTAATAATGCTGGTGTCTGACAGACAGGACTAAGTCCTCCCACCAAGGCAGCCCATATTAGTCAGGCTCTTTAGGGTCTGGAGGCATGCAACTGTTCACTTTAGAGCCACGTTAGCTGACCTCCCAAATATATCTAATACATACCCCCCGGCTGAAATGGAGCTAAGAACAAGAAGGCAGATGAGAAAATGAGCTGCTATGCTCTTGATGAGTTTGTAACACTGGCCTTGGAAATCTTAGTTTAGTTGGCTGATCTGGCTTATTTCCTTTCTCATATTTCAAACCCAAAGTTAACCCTGTAGGCACTGAGAAGAAAATAAAGTTTTTGTTTAGTTCTAGAAGAAAACAACAAACAAAAATATCCATTTAGTCAAAGAGCCTATCTAACAGGTAAGCCCTGAACCAGATCCTACTATGGCAGAAGAGTGAAGTCGATCTGGCTGGGTGACCTTGAACAAGGTCACCTTCTCTAGGCCTCTATTTCTGCCTCATAAAAAGAGACAGTTGGACGGGAAGATCTCCAAGGTCCGGCTGAGCTATGATATTCTATGGCTCTATGATCAATATCAAAACATCACTAAAAGCCCATCATAAAATTTAGGAAAGCAAACCATTGAAAGAAATCCCACATGTGCTTAAAGTCCTTACTCCTGCACTGCTTCCCTTCAGGGATTTTCTGAAGCTGTGAAATAGCCATGACAGCTTGTGCTCACTCAGATGCTAAAATTTAGCAGCAATGTGCTTATTCCAGGGCTCCCCTCCTTGCTCAGGCAATGGTCAAGCTGGAAGCTTCCTCCCGAGGACTTACCCACTGGGCACATGGGTGGGTCAAGGATAAGGAGGGCTAACACCTATCAATAGGGGTGGCTTTACCCCACTTCCCCATTTTCTTCCCCACCCACCCTAGAGTGCAGGAGGTGTGAAGCCCTGGCAGATATGGCCCCACTCTTCAAAAACTATTGCATAAATGCTGGGCTTGGTTCTCTTCTCCACAGCATGTTTCCCTGCTGTCCTCTGATGCTGGAAGGAAAGAAGAGAGGAGAGGGCTGGAAAGACAGGCCAGCCAGCTGCCTGCCTCCTCAGCAGCAATTGCAGGTGCCTGTGTGGACTCGGAGGATGCCCCGGCTGTGCAGGTGAAGAAAGTTGAAGATCTCGGATGGCATGGCATGGAAGCCAGGGCGAGGCTTCACGTTGTCATAGTAGTGGTGGGTGATGAAGAGTCCCGAGGGGTTCATGGGAAAGGCCCAGAAGCCAAACAAGTGAACCTCCTCACAGAGCTCCAGGGCTGCTGTCACCAAGATAAGGCCTGTACTGATGCGCTTGGCACGCACACCAAGGTTGAGCCAGTAGCGGGACACGTTGATGAGATACTGAGGGTGGAAATAGTAGACCGCCTGTGGGGACTCAAAGTCATCCAGCACATACTTGACCCTGATGGAGACGTCAGTATTACGGGTGTTGTAGAAAGCCGGAAGAAGCACCGAGGCATTCTCGTAGACCTGCAACACCTGGTAGAAAGGTCTCCTCCACTTCTCCAGTTTGTGGAACCTGGGCAAGAGCAGAGAGGCCAAGCAAGATGGAAAACAGCTGATGAAATGTTAGACATTTTATTTATCCAATTATGTCATCTTCCTAGATTTGGCTCAACCTTCTAGACTGGTAAGATCTTATCAAGTAAGTTATAAATTAAGCCAGGCTGACCTGGGCTGACTCACAGCCATAATGTAAAGAAGACTGTTTTGGGGAGGTATTATGGTAACAAAGGGATCTAGGTGCAAATCCTTGCTCTTCCACTTACTAGAAGTAAGGACATGATGGTATAACAGAAAAAACCCAGGATTTGGAGCCAGAGAATCTGGGTTCAAACCCCACCTCTAGTGCTTACTACCTATATGACCTTGAGCAGGTCAATTAACTTCTCTGGGTCTCAATTTCCCTATCTGTCAAATAAAGAGGTTGAGTTAGATGGTCTTTGAGGGACCTTTCAATTCCTTTCTCTAGGTCTCACACCTAGAATGCCCTCCCTCCTCACTGCCACCTCCTAAAATCCCTCTCTTCAAGATACAGCTCAAGTTGTACCTTCTACATGATCCCTCATCCTTCCAGCTGCTAGAGAGTCCTCCCTTCCTAATGACACTTGTATTTATAGAAATATGTACTTATTCTGTATTCTCTTTCACATGTATTTGCCTTCCCTATTTTGAATATAAGCTCTTAGAGGCCCAATACAGTGCCTGGAACAGAGCAAGCGCCTAATAAATGTTTGTGGATTGATCAATTGATTCCAGCTCTAAATCTACATCCGACTAAAATAGCTGTATGATGGGGAGCAATTAGCTTCATTACTCTGAGCTTGGCTTCCTCACTTTTAAAGTCCCATGAGGCCCAGCTCTAACACTCACTAATCATATATCTCTGGGCAGGGTCCCCATGAGCTTCAGTTTCCTCACCTGTATAATGGGAATAATATCTCACAGGGTCACTCTAAAGAAAGCACTTGGCAAATCTTAGGCTTCTACATAAATGTGAGTTCTTTATTTATGGCATTGTCTTTTTCCTCTTCCTGTACAAAAGATTAGAAACCAGGACTCCTGATTGATAGCTTTGGGAATCAAAGTCAAGTTTGCTGACCTCTAGTGTATGGTATTATTTTCTGTACTCCACACAGATAGTTAATGTGGTAGAGGGGGTAGAGAACTGGCCTTAGAATGAGGAAGACAGATTTTAAGTCCTGCCTCTGACACAAACTGACTGTGTCACCCTGGGCAAGTCATTTCCTATTTCTGGGCAGCTCTCAAAGCCTCTAACCTACAGAGCAGGTGCTGCCTGCACTGGAACAGGGTGAATTTCTATACCAATGAAATCACGGGTCACCTCTAAAAAAGATACTTAACAGGACAACAGGTAATAGGGGCCATGAACGGTGCATGGAGCCAACAGTAAGTGCTCTGAGAATTCAGAGGAACAAATCATTAGGAAGGTTAGGGATGGACCTGGAGTCAGAAGTTCCAGTTTTGTCCTGAAGTTTGTCTTCAGGTTCTATAGTTTGTCAAGATCTTCCAAGGTATCCATCATCCCTTCTAGATGTTCATGTGCTGCAAATTTAATAAGCGAGCCATCTAAGTCATTCATGAAAATGTTAAATACTGCAAAGCTGAGGCCAGATCCTTTTCTAGAGATCTCCTTCTAAAAAGAAACTGACCTATTGATGACTACTCTTTGGGTCTAGCCATTCAACCGGTCCCTAAATCCACTAATTGTCTATTTCTCATTTTTCTCTTCATTTTTCACTGGCTGTATCCCTTGGGTTCAACTCTATCATCATTATGCCCTCCCCCCAGGAAAAAAAAACTCATCACTAGGAAACTCAACACCAGGGAGATTGGATCAGCTTTGGTATTCACACCTCAGTTGCCTCTGTCCCTCTGATTGGAAGATGGAGTAAAAAAAATCTCTCCAAGCCTCCATTTAAAGAGGGTTGGAAGCCCAGACAACTCTTCTTTTCTCACCAACTGCACCCCTTTGATTCAACTCCATCATCATCATGCCCTTGTATTGGGTACTTTCTCCTCCCTTCATTTTTAATTTCCTGTTGTGTTTTGTCTCTCCTATTAGATGGCAAACTCCTGAAAGGCAGGGACATATCTCTCTTTTTCTTATTTGTGTTTCCAGAGCTTAGTATAGTATCTGGCATATAGTAGGTGCTTAATAAATGTTTATTGTATTACATTGTATCTTGCTTTTGCTTGGTCGTTTTTCAGTTGTGTCTGACTTTTTGTGACCCCATTTTGGGGTTTTCTTGGCAAACATGCTAGAATGGTTTGCCATTTCCTTCTCCAGCTCATTTTACAGATGAGGATACTGAGGCAAACAGGGTTAAGTGACTTGCCCAGGGTCTCATGGCTAGTGAGTGTCTGAGGCCAGATTTGAACTTAGGAAAATGAATCTTCCTGATGCCATGCCTGATGCTCTATCCACTGCAACACCTAGGTGTCCCTATCATATATTATCTTATATCTTTTCCACAATGGTAGCATGAAAGAATTCTAAAACCTAGGTATACTGTAGCCACAATAGTCTTTGTATCTATCATTCTAGTAGAGAGATGGACCAAACCTGTGATTTTCCTTATTTAGAGAGCTCCCAGATGAGGAAGTTTCCTCCACCAAAGCAGATTGGCACCTTTTTAGAAAGCTGCCTAGAACACTAAAAAGATAAATGACTTGCCCAGAGTCAGACCAGTATGTGTCAGAAGTGGAACTTGAACTCAGGTCTTCCCAACTCTGAGGTCACCTCTCTATCTATTAGTTTAGTAACTGTCAAAAAAAAAAGTAAATGAGCCTAGTCTGGCAGGACCTCTTCTTGTGAAGCCATCCAAGAGCTTTGTGATGACCACTGCCTTTTCTAGATGTTCACTGACCATCCCTTTAATAGTACATTCCAGAATTTTGCTGGGAATCAGTCAAGTTTGCTGACCTATAGTGTGAAGACTCCATTCTCTTCTCTAGTTTGAAAATTAAAATAACATTCACCCTTATGCCATCCTACAGCCCCTCTCCTGTTCCTCTTGATCACACAACAATCACTGATGATGACAGAGAAATCAGACCTGTCAGCTCTTTCAGTCATGGAGGGTATAGCTCCTCTAGGCCTCTCTCTTAGTAGCTTCCTAATCATCTTGAGTATCAATTCCTTACTAAATATTCTTGAATGGCCAACAAGGGATCAATGTCATCTTGGGGGAGGTCTATAGCAGAGTGCTCTAGAAATCTGTCCTTGGCCCTGTGATGCTATAAACAGTTCTGTTATGAGATTGTAAGCTCCTCGAGGGCAGGGACTGTCTTTCGCACTTTTTTGTATCCCCAGTGTTTAGCCAAATGCCCAGCACATAGTCAGCACTTAATGAATGTTTATTGACTCACTGTCAGTGATTTGGATGAAGGTACATCCGGTATGCATGCCAAAGACTGCTATTGTTTAATCATTTCTCAGTCATGTCCAACTCTTCATGACCTCTATACCTTAGTTCCTTTTTTAAAATGACAGGATTCGAGCAAACAAACTGGAAAGGCTTGTATGGACTGATGCTGAGTGAAGTGAACAGAACCAGGAGAATGCTGTACACAGCTAACAGCCACGCTGTGCGATGACTGACATTGATAGACTTAGCCCTTCTCAGCAATGCAAGGATTTAAGACATCCCAAAAGTCTCATGATGGAAAATGCTATCCATACCCAGAGAAAGAGCTATGGAGTTTGAATGCAGATTGAAGCATACTATTTGCTCTTTTTTTAATTCTGTTTCATTTTATTTCTTCTTTCTTGTGGCTCCTCCTATTGGTTCTAATTCTTCTTTACAACATCACTCATGTGAAAATATGTTTAATAGGAATGTATATGTAGAGCCTATAACAGATTGTGCACTGTCTTGGGGAGGGAGGGGGAGAAAATTTAAAACTCAAAAGCTTATGGAAGTGATTGTTGAAAACTAAAAAATAAATTAATTCAAAAAAAAAACAGAAAGGATTTGGGGGAGAGGACATGGTAAGGAAGTGGACATGATAAAGAAGTGGACCATGACAGATACGCAAAAAGGAAGCAATAAAACATTTTTAAATGGGCAAAAAAATAAAATAAAATGAGGGGATTGGACTAGATCTTTAGGGTCCCTTCCCAGGTGGCAATTTTATGGCTCTGGGATACAAGAGCAAGTGCTACATGCTATTTAAAGTTTTCATGGCTTAAGGTATGACCCCTCTAAGAGATTATAAGATTCTTGAAGAGTCAGAAAGATCATAAGTGTAACATTATACTCTGGTATAACATTATATATAGGTCTCCATTATTCTCAACAAAGAGAATACTGACTGCAGTTATTGGATTTGATTTCAGACTCCACCTCTGACACTTACGTATGTGGGCTTAGACAAGTCACCTACCTTCTCTAGGTGGGGGAAGGGAGAGGTTGGCTTTGGACTAGACGACTTCTAAGGTGCCTTCTAGAGCTAAACTCAGGACAAGGTTCAGACTAACCTCTCTGTTATGATGCTGGGGTTCACAGTAACAACATCAGTCTTTGCCCCAACGTCCCCGGTGTACTTCTCTGAGATCGGGGGTAGATTACACCTGCAGAAAAAATGACAAAGCAAATTAAGCTGAAGTAAATGAGTCCCTTTACTCCTTCCATGCACAACTGCGTGGGACCGTCACCAGTCATCTTGACTTTTGTCTTGCCCCTGGACTCCTATGACTCTGGAGGAGTGAGTCTGATGACTTTGCATAGCTCTGCTTCACTTAAATCCAACTCACACATGAGTCAAGACATTGCCCATTACATAATGTCATTGGTACTCTTCAAAAAATGAAGGACAAACAACAACAATTACTACTGGGGGGGAGGGGGAATGGGGGGGAGCAGGAGGAAGAAGGGAAATAATAATAATTTTTCACCTGACTGTACTACTTTGCGATTTCTTGGACCTCACCATGCCCCAGGAAGCTCATTATTGGAAAAAGCTCATCATCCTGCAAGATCTCAACAGCCCTGGGACTCCACGTCATCACCATCCTCTGCCCTTCTAATTGGAAGGAGGAGCCAGGAACACCAAAGCCTCCATTTAAGGAGGGAGCCCAGCTAAGTTCAGATATCTCCTCATCTCTCACCTGACTGCACTGTTTAGGACTCCTCTGCCTTCTCTACTTGAGTCAGGTACCTTTCCACTTTCCCTCTCTCCCCCACCTTTTCAGCTTCCTTTTTGTGGATGTCTTCACCAGTTAGATTGTAAACTCCTTGAGGGCAGGCACTGTCTTTCTTTTTTTGTATTTGTCTCTCCAGTGCTTAGCACAGTGCCTGGCACATCATAGGAGCCTAATGTTTATTGACTATTATTGATAATCATAGCTGACATGGTACATGGCATCTTAGCAGCCACCACATCTGTATAGTCATGCCCACATTCACTGGCAACCACTTTTGCCTGAGAGGCAGTGAGACATAGTAGGTAGGATGCTGGGCTTACAACCAGGAATACCAAGGTTCATACACTTATAAGCTAAGTGACCATGGGCAAATCACTTAATCTCCCTGAGTCTCATTTTCCTTATTTGTAAGATGGGGAGAATAACAGCTGCTCTACTTATCTCACCATGTTGTTGTGAGACCCAAATGAAATCATGCATGTAAAGTGCCTTGTAAACCTCAAGGTCCTATAGAAACATCAATCATCATTACAAATGTCATCATATTTGGATCTTTTGAGCCTAGCACAGCATTATACACTCATCTGTATTTTTTATCTCTTTTGTGGGTCATTGTAGCCTACATTCTGGTGACAAGCCTCTCCTTTAAATAGACTGAGTCTTGAACAACACACAGTCTCTCTCTGGTCCCTGTCTGAAGCCAGAACTTTCACTTCACAACCAACAAGCACAGAAGAGCCTTCAATGAGGATCTCATTGCAGGAGGCTTAAAGTGGAAGGCACACAGGAGAAGCATAAAGTTGCTGATTTGACCCATAGGACATATAAAGATACATTATTAGCAAGTCTTATCCTGTTAGATTTCTACTGTGCAGCTTAGGGTGCCGCAGAGAGACAGCAAGATGGAGCAGGACCCCTGGACGAGGATCCAAAAGATCTGATTTAAGCTCAGTTCTGCCACTTACTCTTCATGCCTCAGTTTCATCATCTATAAAATGGGGATAAGAATTATTACTCACACATCTATAGTGCTTAAAGGCTCACAGGGCGCTTGACTTACAACTCTGTGGGGTGGCTAGAGCAAGCACTTTTATTCCCAATTTACAGATAACAAAACAAACTGAGGCTCAGAGATATAGGTCATCATCCTGAATCATCTTTTTCCTCTCACAGGCAAACTCCTAGAAAAAGTTGTTTAAACTAGTCATCTCCACTTTCTCGCCACATCCCACTCAAGGGTTTCCAAAGCCTTTGCACTCTGGCTTCCGACTTTACTGCTCGACCAAAGCTATTCTCTCTGAGAGTATCGCTGATATCTATTCAATCCAACGGCCTTTTTTCAGTTCTTGTCGTATTTGACATCTTTGTGACATTTCACACTGTCAAATACTTCCTCTTTTTGTATATTCTTTCTTCCCTTGACATTTTTTTTGTTGCTGTTGAGTTGTTTCAGTTCTGTTTGATTCTTCATGACCCTATTTGAGGTTTTCTTGGCAAAGACACTTTGCCATTCCTTCTCCAACTCATTTTACAGCTGAGGAACTGAGGCAAACAGGATTAAGTGACTTGCCCGGGGTCACAGAGCTAAGCAAGTGCATGAATTCCCTTACCTTGACCTTTCTTTACCACCAACAACTTGAATTTTCTGCTGGTAAAACTGTCATTATGACCTTCCTAATGAAAAACAGGGATGAGCAGCCAGAAAACTGTAGCTGGGAGTGGGAACTGTAGAATGCAGAAGTCTCAGGGTGTGAGACTTTTGGCTTAGAACTTTACTCATATTTCACTGAAAAAAAAAAATGAGACCATTTGCCAAGAGCTCCCTCTTCTCTCCTCCTCTTCATCTCACATCACCCAGATGCTTTCTGTTACTATCTTCTCCTTCACCCCTGTCCCACATGAAGAGGTGGCCCTTCTCCTTGCCAAGGCCAATCCCTCTACATTCACAAGTAATCCCACTCCATCCTGTCTTCTCCAGCAGATTGCTTCTTCATCATCCCCATTCTCATTTTATCTCCAATCTCTTCCTATCTACTGGCTGCTTCCCTACTGCCTACAGACATTCTCATGTCTCCTCCATTCTCAAAAAACTCTCATTTGATCCATCTATCTCCACTAGCTATTGTCCTAAATTTCTCCTCTTTTTTTTTTTTGGCTAAATGCCTTGAGCAGAATACCTGCAATGGATGCTTCCACTTCCTTTCCTCTTTCTCTCTTTTTAAAAGTCTGTCTTCTAATCTCATCTTTCAACCAAAACGATTTTCTTCAAAGTTACCAGTGATTCAACATGTCTACTATGGAAGTGTTTTGCATAACTGCACATGTACAACCTATATTGAGTTGCTTGCCTTTTCAATGAGGGTGGGTAGGGAGGGAGGAAGAGAGAAAATTTAAAACCTAAAGTTTTAAAAACATATGTTTAAAAAAATGTTTTCACACGCTAATGGGAAATAAGAAATACAGGAAATGGGGTACAGAAGTCTATCCTGCCCTACAGGAAAATAGAAGGGGAAGGGGATAAGAGAAGAGGGGAGAGATAGAAGAGAGGACAGACTAGGGGAAGAGATATTCAGAATGCATGCCTTCTTGGGGTGGGAGGAGGGGTGAGATGGGGTGAAAATTTGGAACTCAAAAACTTGTGGAAGTGAATGTTGAAAACTAAAAATAAATAAATTTATAGTAAAACCAAAAAAAAGTTACCAGTGATTTCTTGATTGCCAAATCTTATGGCCTTTTCTCAACTGCTATGCTTCTTAATGTCTCTGCAACCCTTGACACTGTAAATCACAATCTTCTCCTTGACTCTCTTCAGGTTTTACACTAGTGTATCCTGGTTTTCTTCCTACCTAACTAGCCATTTTTTCTTGGTCTCTCCTTTGCTGGATCTTTATCCAAGTCACAATTGCTAATGGTGTATATCCCTGTCCTAAGCCCTTTCCTTTTCTCCCACTATATTACTTGACTTGGTGATCTCACCAGCTCTCATGGATTCCCAATTATCATCTCTATGCTGATGATTCTCACATCTATTTATCCAGCCCTAAGCTCTTTGCTAATCTCCACTCTCTCATCTCCGACTGCCTATTGGACCTATCAAATTGGATGTCCCATATACATCTTAAGCTTAGCATGTCCTAAACTGAGCTCATGATCTTATCTTGTTCGGAACTTCTCTATTAGTCAAGTCTGAAACTTGAGTGTCATCCTTTTCACCTCCTATATTCAATCTGTTGCCAAGTCCTGTCCATTTTACCTTTAGAATACCTTTCATGTGCTTCTTCTTCTCTCTTCTGACACTGCCACCACTCTAATACAAGTCCTCATTAAAACTGAGCTCATGATCTTGTTCGGAACTTCTCTATTAGTCAAGTCTGAAACTTGAGTGTCATCCTTTTCACCTCCTATATTCAATCTGTTGCCAAGTCCTGTCCATTTTACCTTTAGAATACCTTTCATGTGCTTCTTCTTCTCTCTTCTGACACTGCCACCACTCTAATACAAGTCCTCATTACCTCATACCTGGACTATTGTGATAGCCTAGTATTTGGTTTCCCTGCCTCAAGTCTCTCCCTACTACAGCCCAACCTTGATTCCACTGACAAAGTGATCTTCCTAAAGCAGAGATTTGACCATGTCACTCCCCTATTCAATAAACTCCAATAGCTCCTTATCACTTCCAGGTGTGGGGTCCAAAATTATACAATCTACAAGGAAACCACTAAGATAGAGATCTGAGCCATTAATCATTTTTTAAAAGAACTGAACCCCTTCAATGACTGGGACCTCAGATCTTTCTCACAATCTGAGATGCCTCCTTTCCCCAGGGCCTTCCTCTTATGGGACTTGATACCCAGAAACTCAGAAGAGGCAAAGTAAAATATAAAGTCTCATTGGTCAATAGACCTTGCTTTTGATCCCCTAGGTGGGCCAGAAATGATGCATTAGCATGGGTGGTCACAGGATAGGCAAGGCAAGGGTCATCTCCACTGACTGAGTGGTCATAAGATGGGGCCCCTCCTCATGTTGAGGAAGAGGGTGGTCCAGAGATACAAAAATAAATTGCATAACTTTCCATATCAATCAAGGCATCCCACCCCAGCTGGGTTTGGTCATCTGCATTTTTGTGGTTAGGCAAGTGAACTTTATAACTAGTAAATAAATAGTGAACAATGAATTTACAGGTTTTAAAGTTTAAGGCCTACTATAAGAGAGAATCTATCTTATCTAATTATCCCTATGTGATATCTGTAAAATATGCATTATTATATGTCATTCTTATGTTAGTATTAGTTGACTAAACTAAATAAATGTATATTGCTAGACAAGAATATCACTGATGATTGCTAACAATCATTACTTCAATGGAATCACATTGAACTGATTAATAGTGATTGGAATATAATAGGGGTCCAATAAATCATTTCTCT